GTTGTGTGTACACGTGGTTGTTGTGTGTACACGTGGTTGTTGTGTGTACACGTGGTTGTTGTGTGTACACGTGGTTGTTGTGTGTACACGTGGTTGTTGTGTGTGTGCGGCTGCTGCTTTTGCACGAGTCTTACGGGAGTGTCCCAGCGCTGCTGGTGCTATTTGAACGGAAAATATATATAACCAAACACCCAAGTGACCACACAGAGAGTACACAGCTACTGCAATTGCACGGTTGTCTGCTACGCACGTGCCCTGTCGCTGTTTGAGTCAGGTGTTGGTTTGTTAAGGCGAAGGTACCATCCGGATGTCATGCCACTGTCCAATTTAGACACGCGCGGTGGGCAAGCCAAGTTCAGGGCCGTTGCCTGTCTGTTTACTGCTTTGCAGCTTTGGTAGATATTAAGACACATATCTAACTATGTATGAAGCATTAGACTATATACCTACACAATTGAATTTGGATGCTTGTGGTAGATCCGTTGGGTGTTTGAAGGTGCTGAGCGGAGGTCGGGACCGTTATAAGGGCGCGGGGTGGATCGCAGTACCTCCTCCTAAAATAGCCAGGAAACTCCAGGAAACGTCAGCATCTCTCAGTTTTTCATTTTCAAAGCCTAACTCCAGTACGACACTACCATCGCAAACTGACTGTCCGCAGCGGTCGCTTGTGTACAATGTTAGTGTCTGAGGTTGTCGTCCTTGAGATCAGCATGGAGCAAGCATACCCCGATCACGTATTCACTCCAGATCGCCATGGGCAAGATCACTTACGTCCTAAAGATCGCAAAGGACATATCCTTGGAAAGAGCTACGTAGCTCATCTGATCTGTCCCACTTGTAGGTGTGAACTCTTCCGAGGGCTACACCACCGTGATCCACGAACACGTATGCGTAGCCGTGTTTTCTGCACCAACTCACCCGTTACTACAACCCATACGCGCTTCCTTGCTGTCGAAATACGTTTTCATGTTATTTTTGCAGCCAACCGGTTAGGTGGACGGATCTTCACACACGAGGAGTCTCGATCTCATCACCATCCGTCGCCACATAGCAGCTGCGAGGAAGGTGTAACCACCACCACCAGTGGTGGCATCCCCAGCCGACCCCTAGAGCTCGGAGCGCAGTGGCTGCATGGCACGGTCGGGAACCCGCTGTTCGACTTCTGCGTAGAGGAGGGGATTTTCGACTCCCAAGGTGAGGAGAAGAGAAAAACTACTCAGGTCACTTCCCCCGCCCCCGGCTTTCACAATTCGCGTTGTTAGGCTTTGTTCCGCAATTGCTCCATTTATCCGCACGTGACTGAGTTGTCGCGTGTAACTTGTGATCCAGAAGACCCACGCGGGGTTTATTTACATCCCACCCAATGATTCTAGTAGGTTGGCGTAGACTGCTGTAGCAGGCGATAATACCGGTGTACGGATTCGTGTGAGAGTACGGGAAGGACGCACTTTCCACATCTTTCTGTTGAATTTTGCTGTCGCGTTCTCTCTTGCATGACAAGGTGTTTTTTTCGGGAACGAGAGTAGATACTAGATTGATGGTGAGTGCCGTGATTGTTGGCTACTTTGAGATGGTATGTGGCCAACGACAGCAGCCTAACGCCCGTCGAAGCGAGAGTGTGGTCTTCCTGCTGTTCTCCTCACGTTACTCCTGCCCTTCTCCGCCCAAACCCCTAAATGTCGTTCCCAATGACATCAACTGACTCATTTAGTTCCTTATAACCAAGCCGGCGTTCATATTTTTCCAGTGTAAAGCTTCTTACTGACTTGTCGATAAAATGTCCTCCACACCCGTTATGACTAACGTCTGGATCATCCTTGTGAAACGTAGTTTGGGCCGGCGAAACTTATCGCTCCGTGCCGGCATCGTAGGGATGCGAGGTCAATGACCTAACGACCACCGTATGCGTTTTCATGAGGACACCCACCCCCACCCGTCGACATCCTTGGGGCGCCTTTTCAGAGGGAAGGATAGAGCTCGCCATGGCCAAGAGGGCCTACGCTGCTGGAGACGTCCAGGCACGAAGACCGGATGGCACCCAGGTGAGAAAGAAACAACGCCCCCTTCCGTGAGCTTTTGTTGATCCACCAACAACGACGAGGTGCGTGTTTCGTGTTTTCTCCAAAAGAAAGTATATCGTGGCCGGGTGTGTGTAGTGCCGCTTTTAATTGTACTGTATTTGTCTCGCGAGGCATTGACTCACGTGCTTTCTTCGAAAAGAAAGCCCGCCGTCAGTTGATTTTCGACGCGCGCATGTAACGTTGGTTGCGTAAGATACCAGACCCCCTGGACCGATTTCTCAAGCTCGATTGCTTCCGTTGTCATTTTCGGAAAGCTTTTGACGAGACGGTTCCAACGCTCCCGTTTTCGGCACTGCTTCTGGTTTTTGCTGCATGGTTTTCGAGCTTTGGAAATCGGTCCTGGGGGCGTGTTATCTTATGGAATCTACGGGTGTGTACACCATTGTGTTGGCTTTGAGCGATGAGGTATCAACATATATCCCTCGACCAGATTCCGGCAAACCCGATGCGCCAGTATCGGCAGCGCAGCCCTAGAGCACATGCGATGGCATACATACCGACCTTGGCGGCCCTACCGCACCCTTAATATTCGGAAGCCCGCTCATTCTCTAGACACGGCCGAATGTGTCGTCGGGAAGTAGGATAGTTTGCGCCCCCCTCCGTCCTCTCGAGGGCGAGCGGCCAATGGGCTGACAACTAAGGCATGCAAACCATGAGCACGCCTTCCCCAACGCACGCATCCATACTTGTTGTTGTTTCATTCGCCGCACCGATTGTCGGGACAAGGTGTCGCGGCGGGAATTCGTGCGGCATTCGGAGGCGTGGGCGCAAGCCGTTCTCGAGGCGGAAACTCTGTACGCGGCCTCTCTCGCCGCGGAAGCGGAGACGGCAGCCGAGGGAAGTAATGCAGAGGGTCAGCAGCAGCAGCAGCGGCAGAATATTGACCCCAAAAGGTTGGAGGAAGCAGCAACGACAGCGGTACCGAATAGCCCCCGACAAGACCCCCAAGTGAACGGAATCAGCCAAAATGTCAACAATGGCGGCAGCACCCCCAACGCTGCCATCAGCTCTGACAGCAGGCGGGAAGACCGGGTCGGCGCATTTTTGCATCGAAGAGTGCGCGAGATCCTTCGCGCGGGTGGCGGTAGCAGCGGCGGCTGCGTTATCGACGAAGACATTTTGGGGTACCTGGTGAGAAAGCAGCAAGCTGTGGAGGGCTGCGATGACCTGGACGTCGTGTCCGTCGCAGGGTATGGCATGTACGAGGAGCTCGAGGGCGGGGACGTTAGAGTCCCCGGCGGGTTTTTTAGGGTGGTGGAGGCGTTGGCGGCGAAGGTGGGATTCGTTTGACAGCACAGACTGAACCGTCATGGCTTAGCAGTGTTGCCGAACCCTAATCCTAACTCTAACCCAAGATAGGCACTGCAACAGTGTTGTGTCGCGCGTCACAAACGGGGTATGGCAGAGGGGTCGAGGACCGCCGGGGCAGTAAAAACATTTCATCAGGCTGGTGGACGCTTTAGCGGCGAAGGCGGGTAATACAATGGTGTCCGTGTGACAGCACAGGCTGAACTGTAATCTTTTAGTGGTGTTCCCGATCTCCATGCCAAAGCCTAACCCAAGTTAGGCAATAAAATAGTTTTAGTGTGTTGTGTCGCGCGTCCCAAACGAGAGGCGGCCGAGGGGTGAGGACCGGCGGGACGTTAAAATCATGCCACCTCGTGCTGTTCCAATCAAGGTGGTGGATGCTTCGGTGGCGAAGACGGGTAGGACAATAGCGTTCGTGTGATAGCACAGACTGGCCAGTGATCGCTTAGCTTTGTCCCCGAACCCCAACCCTACCCCAAAATAGGCACTATTTTAGCGTAGCTGACGTGGACCGCGATAAATTTAGCGGTGTTTGACAGACTCAGAAAGTCGTCGCCACACACTGCATGTAGCGTGTAGAGTTGAAAAGAGCTTTCGTCCAACCTTTCCCACCGGTTGAACAATTGTCAGAGTTTGTGTTGTTGCAGAAACACAGGAAAATCATCTCTAACCGTAAACACAAGTCCGGGATGAAGTTCCCCCGCGCCAGTATTAATCCTCTGGGCACCTGCATGTTGACACATGGCCAAAGATTTGTGTTTGATTTGAGGGTTGACAAGATACCGTAGATTCTGAAGGGTGAATTCGTAGGCTTCTAGACGCGAAAGCTGGAGCTGTACAAATGTTTCGGTTGGCTCCCCATGATGAATACAAGACGACGCCGGCCTCCACCCAACGACGTCAAGTTTCTACACGACCAGCAATGTACGGCACAAGCTTGGCGAAAAGCGTGTGTCGCTACCAGTTCTCGCATGCGATACCTCTGGCGGCGATATCATTTCCTTGCAACTTCTGAGGCTGTCAAGATACACACGCTGGTGTGTCATTCTTCTGTCTCTCAGCCCCGCCCCCTACCCGTCACGCCGCAGATATCGCCGGGGCGGATAAGATTGCAGTCTCCTGTATCGCGGGTGCAGTGGGCCTCACAAGGACAACAAGAGCGGCGAGACTCTCCCTTCGCCGAAAGTCATCCGTGCGTTGTGGAGTACACCACTAGGAGGCACTCGTCAGGTGGGATAGATGTCGGGGGGGAGCAAGGCCACTCGGACCGGGTTTTGACGATGAGGATCAGGTGCAGGCGTGTCTTGGTCACGGTGGGCCTCGGCGTACTTAAGGTAAGGGAACACTTGTAACCGTTTTACGCCGATCCCCCCGAATTTTTTGTTGACCGCGCATCGTACTTGTTACTGCTCTGATGGTTTTGTTGATAGCCTCATTGACGGCTTTCTTGTGCTTTTGGGGCTACTATTGAATGGCAGGCGTCAGCTAGATAAGTGGTGTTCATTTCAGTACGGCTTGCCGTCGACCACAGTGGTACGGTCGACATGTATCTTCGACCCGCTGGGGCATCGTGTGTGTTGTCATGCTACGATGACGTCGTGAGAATCGACGATATGCCATACGTTGGCACGGTTTGGGTGGAAATCGAGCGCTTTGGGGGGGGCGCTTGACGTGTGGAGTGGTGTTGTGTTTCCTCTCGTGAATTGGCCCATGCGCTGGCCACGTAGCAGTGCGCAATCGGTACGACGCAGTGTTAACACACCGCCTGGATCACCCCACTTTTGAGCTTAGAACAGGGACGTACAGGTATGTTCATATACAAGAGTAGCAACACAATTGACAACAGCGGCAGCCGCAGCGCCAACTGCAACGACTAGGGATAGGGAGGTCCAGTAGATCTACGCATTGTGTATGGCCGTTGCCCTTCTACGGCGGAAACCCCTCATTTTTCTCACATCTGTTTGTCTGTTTCCCTTTCATGCGGATGAGCTGCGGACGTGCAACGAGAACCACTTCGTTTTCAAAAACAGTGTGTTGTCCAGGACGAACGAGCATGAACGGAGCTATTAGGCTCGCTCAAGCCGGCCTACGTGCTGTCTGAGCAATGAGTACAAAAAATGCATCATTGGTAACATGGGCAGGAACACTTTCTCATGCATTCTCGTGCGTATTAACTTTCTCCAAAATGTCATTGCTTTTGAGGGTGGCGCTTGGTCCACACGAGACCTCGGCTAATTATCGGTTGATCCTCCCCGCCGTTTTTGCTTTTTTCGCAGGACGGCATGGCCCTGACGTTTTCCCCACCGCTACCCCAGGCAAAGCTGGCGGCGATCCGCCGCCTAGGATTCGGGACAGCCGACAAATTTTTCGTGAGGTAACACGTACTCAGTTCTTTCGCTTTCACTCTAAACTTCATGCCCTTGTCTACGACAGCAACCTCATGTAAGCATGTACGTGACGTTTGTCCTCGACGGGGCATCTGTTTGATTGTGGGAGGCGAGGATGCCGTTGTTTTTGCGGTAATAGTTGGAAGCGTTGACGTTGTCGATGTACGCGTCGTGCGAGCAACGCGAGCGGGTGTAGCATGAGAGGTTTTGCATGAAACACTTGTTTGTGTTGGTTTTTACGGTAAGCGTCTGGAAGGGTCTTAGTGGTTGTTGTTGACCCTACGCAGTACCCCATTTCCCTCCAGCGATGGTCTGCCCCTTGGAAAGATGCAGCCACGTCGTTGCGTGTCACCCGGTTCATGTTGCTATCCCCAGATGGAGTTGTAGACTTCGCCCGAAGGACCGCGGATGATGCTCCCGACCCAGCTGTTGCGAGATCGTACGAACGTTGGCTTCCTGGCAGGTGTCGCGGTATATAGGAAAGCCGGCCCCAAGTGATCTTGCGTCTTGTCGACAAATGTGTTGACCCGCTATGACGGACGATGCAGGTGCACCCGTAAGGGCTCGGCGGGCAGCGGCAGGGCCGGCCCCGACGCATCGCTCAACGTCGGCGTCTTGAGGCCGATTCATCAGCAGCAGCAGCAGCAGCAGCAGCAGCAGCAGCAGCAGGGACGGCGGCGGTGGCGAGATCGAGGAAACAGCGGTAGCCAGAATCCCTCGTGGGTGGACGACGTCTTCTCTTTCCACTCGGAAGGACGTTACGTGTACTCGTGGCTCACGGGGGCCTCGGCGAGGGCCGCGGAACACACCCAAGACGCGGAACAAGTTACGGACGCCCTCCTCTCTCTGCTGCGAACCACAACGCGGGACCCCTCCTGGCAAGCGGCACCCGAGCAGGACCAGGAACAGGACCAAGCCTTGGATGGCGTTAGGCGAAGAACAACGGCTGCTGCGGCTGGGGCGCTGGTGCGGTCCGACTGGTACTCCAACCCGCTGTTTCGTGGATCGTACTCGTACCTTGGCACGGGCTCGTCACCGGCAGACATGGAGGAGCTCGGTCGGCCGCTATCCGCTCCCGCGGGGGTCGATGCGGAAGGCACCGGGAGCGGTCATACCGGCGACGGTAGGCGTCTTGGAGAAGAAGGAGAAGGTGATGGGGGTGGTGGTTCTCTCTCTCGTGCGAGAGTTTTCTTTGCCGGAGAGGCCATGCACGCGCGCTTCTTCTCGACGGCCCACGGCGGTTTCGATGCCGGCCGGCGCACGGCGAGGGAAGTGCTGGCGAGTTGCGGCTTCAAGGATTGCTCTGATCCGCTGCACAAGCCAGAGGCGGTCGAATACGACGCGTGATTGTGCATGCATTGACGAGGAAGCAGGTGGTGTTGATGTGTGGTTGTACTACGAAACCTGCTTCGTTCGGCAGCGATGGTTTCATGCTTCTCTCGACTTGGATGGCTTCTCCCGGCGGTGTTATATTTATATGCATAACAAAATGGGCAAATTTTCTTCGCCTTGCCCTGTTGGATGATAATATGTTATGATAGCGATTCTGCCAGGTAGAACGGTAATATTGTTTGATCTTGGTTGGTAACGGCCAACTGGCGAATTCATCTTCGTCTCTCTGCTGAATGACCTGGAGTTCGCCGCGCAAGACCAATTTAAACCAGCCCTTGTGTTTCATCGAAATTCTCCTATCATAGACAGCTGGTTGCATGGCTGTTGATACATGTAGTCCTACAACGGTTTTAGCTTCGCCCAAAGGTGGCACCTTTTAGTCACTAGGGGTTAAGCTACTTGGCTCTTTCGGTTGAGAATGTACGGGGTGAGATCACGTTACCGAGAGGTATGCGATCACGAGGCTTTTCCCTTCGAACCACGCGCTATAAGAAGTTGCCACCACTCAAGAACCCCTCTTATTTTGCCCGAAGCCCGCATCTTATTTTGTCTTTGGGGTACATACACCTAACATCGACATCGATTATGATTTGTGGTGTTGGCTTCTGTACTGAACACACGTCATGCTGTTCAAGTTGTTTGGTCTCCATATTATTAAGCCTGATGTTTTCCCTCGTTGAGACCCAGGTTTTCAAAGTGGCGGTGCGTTCTGTGTTCTATGCATCGAAAGTGTGTGTTCGAAACGTGGGACACCTGAAAATTTAGGAAGCCCCTCCCGTTAAACCACACACCAATGGCGTCGTTTCGCGCAACTCAGAATGTGCGAGCGTACCCTTGCTGAGTAGCAGGACAACGAGGGTATCTACTACTATGACGGTTTGTGCGGTGCTGCCTTCACCGATGTGCGGAGGCGAATGAATCAAGGTAGCTTTGTGTCCATTTTAGACATCGTTGGCATGCCTATTTCTGCGCGGCAGTGAACAGGTCGCTGTGAAACAACACACCCTGTATGTAGGAGAGGTCGAAGTCCCGGTATTCATATCATTCGACAACGGGGATTACTGTTGGAAGTTTCGATTGGGCAACTATACGAATGAATGTGATATTTTCTATTTGCGCCTGTCTGTCAGCAGGAAGCGTCAGAATGACGCGAAGGATGACGGGACGAATGGGGACAGAGGCAGAAAGAGCGTGAGAGGTTAGAGGTAGGGAGGAGAGAGATAGATTGAGAGAGATAGAGAGAATCAAAGAGACGCGGAGAGAGAGAGAGAGGGAAAGGGAGAGGGAGAGACAGCGACAGCGATTTCTAAAGAGTTGTTCTAAAGTAGACTACAGTAGTAGGGCTGAGCTAGGGAGAATACCTAAGCGATGTGCTCAATGGCGTGTATGTATGCCAAAGTAGGCTGGGGGTGTACTCATAGTCGTGCATGCCGTAGTCGTTAGACCATTGACCTCGCATCCCTACAAAGCCGGGACGGAGCACGCCGGGT